CACATCCCAATTCCTTAGAGTCAGACTCGGAAAATCAGTGCAGGGTCTCATATCAGCTAAAACCAACTGGAGATAAAATTAACTTCACTCCTACTAATGCAGCCAAACTTGATTTTATTTCTTTTTAATATTCAAAGACTATTGGCATGCCTGGAAACCTACAGTATATCATTTTTCAGACCACAGACAAAAAACAAAACCCCAAACTAATAAAAGCTTTTATTCTATAACCCCGGAATACATTAAAAAACACTTTAGTAACTACAACATTCTTTAGGAAATGAGTACAAAAGCCTTGTGTATAAAAAGCAGTAATATCTAAGCCTTTGTGGCAAATATTCAAAAAACTCGCAATGCTCTAAGATATGAGAATGCGTAGCACAACGTTATCAGTATGGCCTTGTACAGCCCGTTTTAGAAAACAGATAAAAATACTCTTATTAAAATGTTTATTGTTCAAATGAATCTCATCTACAGAATAAGAACATTCCAAACAATTTGTTTACACTGATTGACCCTGTGGATGAAAGAAAACCGTTTCATTTAATTGTAAAATTATTATACGCGATATGTACCCAGCCAATTCATTTGCCAAGAGTGGGTGCATTTTTTGACAGCACACCATAGGGAAATTGTATTACTCTTCACACCCTCTTCAGCTTTGTAGTCACCTCCCTGTACAGTATAAAGGAATTATTTAGCGTTATTCTGGTTTTCCCAGTGTGCTTGTTCGATGTCAGGTTCTAAGTAAAACAGCCACACACAGCGAGACTATTTATAAAAATGTAAAAAAGCACATTCTTCCAAATGCAAAAGTTTCATTTGTTTTCCACTTCCAAGGAAAAATAAAGTCCTGTATAGAGATGTAAATAGCAGAAAGAATACTGTTTTCTACTTCCAAACACCAGCTTGTGCGGTTTCATAAACTGTACAGCTAAAAAAAAAAGAACAACTCTGTAGTCTTCCAAGGAACCGAAGACCGAAGCCGGGAGCAGACACTACGCATTCCTCTGGAGTGAAAAGACACGAGAAGTGGAAAACAAACTCCGCCCACACGTCGGTGTGAAGAGAGGGGGGCGCCCAGCAGAGTTCAGGCTCGGGGCCTCTACGAGCTCTCGTAGAGGTACTTGGTCTTGGCGATGCCGGACAGCTCGTCCTCGTAGCGCGGCAGGCAGCAGAAGAGGATCCCGCAGCCGATCATGAGCACGGTGGCGCCCCAGCCGAAGCCGTAGGCCCAGGTGTAGTCGTAGTGGCCCTCGTAGATGAACTGCTCGCTGAACTTGCAGGGGTAGACGATCAGGGCGATGAACTGCAGGATCACTGTTGGGAAGGGTGGAAACGCTCGTCACGAGCAGCACCAGAGAGAGCCCGGTGCTGACCCCCGGCCCCGATTCGCCACAGAAAGACAACAGACCCACATTTTCTGTGAGTGAGAGATTAACGTTATGAAGCACACTGGTAATTTTTTTCAGCGATAGCATTTTTTCATGCTTGATGGCTGTTTACTTGGATTTCTTTAGTAGTAAAAAAATTAAGACAGATCTTGCTGATTAACAGCAGGAAAAGATATTTCTACAGCTGCCAGCCGCTAACTCCATAACTTGGTCAGGCTGATTGAAACGCTCTAGTACTGTGCAAAGTCTACAGCTGCGGGAGATGTCCAGTACTGTGGCTAATATATAGAAGGCAATTCTTATTTAACAGTAAATCCAGACAACACATTTTCTGGAGAATAAAAAGATAGCAGTGTTGCTCTTATTCAAGGCTATGCGGCTGTCCCTGAAGGACTGCAACTGCTGTTATTTTGGGATTCACACATCAGTGTTACTGACATGCTTGCTACCAGCTGACAGGCGTGTGTGAGGCCAAGGGAGTCCAGCACAGATTCCTCATGACAGCACTGAGGGCCTCCCAGCAAGGCTGATCCAGCACAGGCAGCCTCCTGGTACGGACATTTCAGGAATGGAGACACAGGTCAGTACTGGGGGCGGAGTAAGAGCCACCAGATTCTTCGGATTCCTAAAGGGATGCTTTATCACTGCTGCCTGTTGATGTCTCCTACGCAAAGTGGGAGACCTGTTTTCTTCTTCTTTCTTTTAGTGTTCAATGTGAGAAATAAAAAGCATTAGTGCTATGAGCGCATCATTTCACACTTGTAGCTTTAAAAACCCCGATGGAGAAGCCACGAGGAAATTAAAAGTGGAAACCAAGATGAACACATTGTACTATTCCACTAGTCTGGAGTGGGTGCCTAGCCGGCTCTGGCCAATATCAAACTCATCTATCCATGGGAGCAGGAGAGGCTCGGTTTTACGATAAGGCAGAGCGCTTATCACACAGTCAAATCAGTTGGTCTGTTTGTTGCTTTAACTTGTGGACATGAATCACTCCAGATCACCCCTGCACACTCACACACTTTTCCATTGCGACACCAAATCAAATCAGGTTTCGCTCTGCGGGATGAAGACAACTGTAGCTCCTTTTGACTCACACCCTTCAATTCCAGGAACTCACTGCTCACCCTAGATAAGAAAAAACTGTAGGTGTCTGGTGCAGCCTGAAATCGCAGTCATCTACAGTGTCGGTCAGAGTCTGTCGCGAACCCGGGCTCACACCTGGCAGGACAGGACCTCTTCGAGGTAGTACTGTAGTGCCCATAGACATGGAGTTTCTAATACGACTTCAGAAACATCCTGTCTAGTAGATTATATCTGATCCATGTGCCAGATTCTTATTCTTTTTAAGTGTGGTGGAAGATGACTGAGTTTAACGTCCAGAATTGTAATTAAAAACGGTGAAGATACAAGCTGTATTGGGGTTATAGCGCTAGAACTACACAGTACTCCACATATACCTGCTACTGTGTCCCAACAAGAAATGCTGATACTGCTTATAGAGATGATGGAAATGAAAAAATGTTTTCTGTGACAGAGGGATTATACAATTTTGTCATCTGCGTTTTGTACTGAGAAGATGAAGATGACAGCGTGCTGGCCACACACATACCAGAGTTTTGAATTGGGTGGTGCTGATAAGATAATATCACTTTATTAGCCATATACAATTTCTTGTACTAGGAATTTATCTTTTCGCACACCCCAGCTTGCTCTCCACGAAACTGAAATGGAAATCTAATAAGTAAATTGATTCTTAAAATGTAAGGAGCCTTAGGAAAATATATAACAAAAATGTAACTGCTGTGCTATATGCAGATTGTCAGAAGACAGTTTTGTCAAGACAGGACGTCCTATCTAGATTACCAAATTAGCTGAATGCAATTGCTGAGCTTTGCAAAAATATGTTCTGGCGCTTCCTTTTTGTCTCTATTATTGTTTCTATGTTGTATCTTTCTTGTCCTAAGGAAAGGGGAAGTTTTAGAAAGTGCTGTATTTTTCCACTGCATTACAACATCTTTATAAAAAGCCTTTGCTGTCTGTAGCAAGTTGAGTCTCTGACGCACTCTGCAGAGTGACAGCAGGGCTCCCAAGATTGCAATATTGAAATAAAGACTCAGGTGAGAACTCTCTCTCGTGGCTTCCTTGATAGGTATATTACCATGACAAAACACACAGGCACACAGACAGGGAGAGAGAAGCTTGGGGTCAGAGCGCAGGGTCAGCCATTTATACGGCACCCTTGGAGCAGTTGGGGAGAAGGGCCTTGCTCAGGGGCCCAACGGAGTAGGATTCCTCTGCCGGCTGCAGGATACGAACCGGCAACCTTCCAGCCACAGCCTAAGCCACAGAGCCACTGCTCCACCCCAAATTCACACAAATCCAACTGATCCATCAAAGACCAGGATTAGAAGCAGAAAAACCCCACAGTGGTCTGTCCATCAGATTATAAAAGCACTGTGAGTGATGGTTACCTGGTCAGGGCCACCAAATAATTTCACACGCTCTGGGAGAGTGGAACAAGATACCTAACCACGCTGTCAAAACAGAAACCCCATATATCTTTCTAGAAACTCTGGGATGAGTCAAGTCCAATGAAATCCAATATCATGTTTAGGAATACAATAATGTGAGAAAGGACAGTTTAAAAGTCACACTCTCAGCATTGCTATTTGTCTGTTTCTGTGTACTTTCACATCTCATGTCCCTTCTTGTGCTGTGCAATTGGTTGCAACTCGATAATAAATATACAAAAGTCCATCTCGGGAATTCCAATCCAGCTGAGCTCCACCAAGAGGCTTTGCAGAATGCCTCAGCATGTCTGCTCTGGTTTGCGTCCTTCAAGCATTTTTAATATTTTAACTTCTTCCGTCCTGAGGCAATCTGTTTTTAATTGGAATCACTGAACCACACCAAGCGGAGGCAGCCCCTGGTTCTGTGATGCCAGAGACACCATACTGGTAGGAAACCATCCACATAATTAACTGTGAACTTGTGGGAATGACACTGCAGCGCTTTCCATATGTAGGAATAATAATTCGATTGCTTCTCACATGGTCGTCCAGTGTGGCTGTACAGCGCAAGTCCAGATAGCCCTGCTCAATGCCCCATGAACATGCGGTGACAGAACTTACCGGCGAGGAAGAGGAGGGTGCCCACGACCGGGAGAAGGCCGACGATCAGGTTGCAGCAGAGCGCCATGCAGGATATGATGAAGGCCACGATCAGCACGATCAGTCCAATGATCATCAGGGCTGCCACTGCCTTGGCCCAGGCTGCAAACACACAGGACAGGAGAGACGCCGGGTCAGTGGGGAGGGCGAGCAGACTTGTCAACAGTATCCGTTCCCATGTTTAGGACAAACACAGCCTGCACACAAGACCGGGCCGGACCGTGTCATGCAGCAGACTAAAGATCAGACAGCTGTACAGGCAGGAATGCCGCCGTAATCGCGCTCTTGAAGGAAGAGATGTTTTCGGTGGCCGATACACATCGAGGTCAAACACATCACTATTTCCACAGAACCCGTCACCATCCCATCCCAGCGCTGTTGGCACGGGCCTCTGTTAACCGAGTCTGCCCAGCGCAGGCCTACTGGAAGGAATAACGGACGATTAGAATTAGCAGCCGAGGAGAGAGATTTAGAAACTCCCCAGTCCGAACTCAGGCTCCGACTGCCCACTCACTGCATCCCTCTGAAGAAACCACTGACCCCCTCGTGGCCTGTCCTAGAAACACAGGGAAATGCCAGGCTGGGATGCGACTCAAGAGCAGCAGCTTGAGAGCTCTTTATTAATGCACAGTTCAATCCCTAGTCCCTTAAAACTGACTTATAACGGTCTGCAAAATCACCAACGCATATTAAGAAAAAGCAAAATAATGAAGACTTGTGAAATAGCACATTGACCCATCCCTTACATTTAAATGATACCAGGAGAGACCAGGAGAAAAGTAACAACAGCTCAAGAGGCAACATGTTTAGTAAAGGAAAGCAGCTCCTGGGTATCTGAGCTGCCCAGGGGTTTGCAGTTGGTTACTTGGATAACTCGGGAAGGAGCACGTTTGTTAATCATCCAAGATCTCGCGGGCAGGGTTCTTGTCTTTGTTTAAATTACTTTCACGGTGTGGAATTGGAACCATGAGTCTTGAATTATTCGTCAGATCAGGGGGGAGACACAAACCCGTTGTCTTGCCTGAGTGACACAGGCACAGCTCTTCCCATAGAGAAATGAAAAGCCCAGGGGTGACATGGGTTTGCTGCCAGATTATATATTATCATATTGTCATATGATATATTATTTGATTATATATTATCAAGTATGATTACAAAGCTAAATGAGCAACAATAATTGTATGTATAATATAATAGATAATGTTGTGAATACTGTATTTAAGAGTTGTGTTACTGTTTTTAGGCAGTAGGATTAATTGACACACAACTTTACCTTTCCATACTAATATGCCTTAGATAGCCATTTTAAAAACTAATTGGAAAAATGCCTTCAGGTTTAACACCTCTGTATGTTCAATGCTGATCCTCCTATAAGTTAAGAAACATTCTGCTGCTGACTTCAACAAGAATATAATGACAATAACCAACCTTATAGGTTTGCTTAATTCTTGCTTTTTCTACATTAGTTACAGTTCTAGCACTGGCTGTTGAGTTATATCAGTTCTAAAAAAGTAAACAAAACATTAGAAACAAACTAAAACCCAGCCTTCGCCAACTGAATTTCATGTCAAGATAAAATACTATTTTTAAAATGTACTTAAGAATTATGTACACTCTTTTAAAATACATTTATTTAATTATATCAAATTAAGTAGTGTTTAATGAGTGGTTAGTGTACATTTCCTCCCCCCACCAAAGTCAGGCACAGAATCAGGAATTGGAATCATAATTCCATTTTCTTTTCCGTTTTTAATATCATGGAACAGGAATTGGATTGAAGAGAGATCTGTAATTGACCAACTGGAATTGACTCCCATCCTGCATCACTATTTCTAGTCTTGTCTAACCTTAGTGTAGAATGTGTTTCTATTCTCATAACATGTCCATCCATTATGTAATCAAGAGTCCACACATGGGAAGTATTAACTGTAATAAATACAGAGCTAGCAGCACCAGGTTAGAGCGCTACTCACATATGGACAATAGGCAAAGGTTTTCCCACAATGTCAGAAAACGGGGGAAAGCTGAACAAACGTCTGCTTATTTTCTTTTGAGGAAGAACAGTTTGCATTATTGACAATGTGTTTTCTCCAAATGGAGCAGTATTTTTGGCATGACATTCCAAGGGGTTGCTTTTTGAGGGCACTCCTCTGTGATGATTAGTCTTACCATCAGCTCTCATCATAAAAACCTGATTTTGGCACAGCATGTCAAGTCCTGTCCCATCATCTTGCTCTGCATCAGCAGTTTGCTGTTTGTGGTTGTCCCATCATGAACATATATTTTATGTTTCGATTTTTGGCTTTGGCTGTTCTGGGAAAGGCAGATATGATTCCCATGCAATTCCCTGGTGGGATCTGCTCTACCAACTGTGGGCTCTAGTACTGACCCAGCAGCAGGTAGGTAGGCAGGTTTGGAAAAGCAAAAACTGAACCGGATTGTGCAGCTCATCACACCAGCAATGGAACGAACTGCAAAGTCTCCCTTTTTCCTCATACTCAGATATTCCTAAACAAAACACTTCCTGCCTTTCCTTTTCAAACCATACATGTTGCAACTCCTACCCCTCATCTGGTTGTGAGATTTAATCTCTTGTAAGATGTTTTCCAGAACCATGCAGTAGACTGCAAACTTAAAAAGCTACTGGTCACGCAGCCTGTGTTGCACTGGGCAGCCTGAACTATGTCTCCTCTATGGGAAGAAGAGTCTCCAAGGTTACTATGATGGAGCCTGTAGGATTCTCAGGGTCCATGCTCTGGCATTGTGCCGCCATCATCAAGCAAGGAATGGAGGAAAGCAGAAAGCAATACTCATTGAAAATGCTCTCAGGGTGCGTCTCTAAATTTGTCCTCCAGAACAAATGCCCCCCACTTTTCAAAACCCCAAATAAACCCTATTTTTCCTAATCTATGTTTCATTAAAATTGAACGTGCAAAATATGTATAGAGTTATGCCTTTAAACTATGCAGGCTGATTTATAATATTAAAAAAAGAAAAAAAAGCAATTTTCTTTATAGCTTATTTTATTCCAGTAAGGTCTGTACTGTTCTACCCTCATTGCAAATGATCAGATCTTGATATGCCTGACCTGAAAAATAAACTGCAGAAAATAAAATCTTAATTATTAACCTCTAAGCCACTTTGGTCTGTTCAGTAAAGAAACTTACTTGGCTTAACAAGATTTAAAAAAAAAATCTGGCAAGTCAATAGAACTTAATTTCTCATTTGCAATGACCCAGAGATCCATCTAGAGAGCAGGGCATTTACTGGAGTGAAATAAATGAAGTCCGTGGCTCAGGGGTTCAACAGCAGTGTCCCTTCCAGGGCCTGAGCCCCCAGTCTACACCCCCACACTGTGCCCTAACTCTGCGGGGCTGCTTTTCATCACACCCTGCCATCTGTCTCCAGGCTCGTTTCTCTCGCTGTTTTGCAGTAGTGCCAAGTTTTTCCGAAAGACAGCTCTAAATTTAGCAGCAGATACCGTCACTTCTGGAGAAAGTGGTTGAAAGAGAGTTTGTTACAGCTCATGACTGACTGGAGAACAAGATGTTACTTACAGCTGTCTCTCCTGCCCAGAGATATGGAAATATCACAAGCTTGAGAGGTTATTTTCTTTATTGCGTTTCCTCTTGGAAATCATATAATAGTGTTTTTGTCTTCACACATATTCCCCCTAAAAATATATAGTTTAACAAAAGCAGACAAAATGACCACTTTGTAGTCACTGGTCTGGGTTTCCCCAGTGGGACTGGTGATATTCTATGAACTCACAGATACATGTTTGCCTCCCTCTCAGATTCACACGTCCCGATATTTTCTTCCAGCTCCCAGATCTACTTTGGGTCTCTTTACCTCCGCAGAGCAAACGTCTTTACAATTGTGAGAAAACCCAGCTGTGTATCGGCAGGCTGCTATCAGGGCACAGGAATGGAAACGCTGTTGAGTGCGTTCCACTGTCTTGGCCAATGGAAACAAGCACCTGGAATCAATTAAAGTGAAGTTCAGGTGTTTCCTTGTAGTAGACGAATGATCACCTGTTCTCTTGTTAGGTAGGGACGTCCCTTTTCAGGCCATAAGGGCCCATGGGGGGGGGATGGGGGGCAAGGGCCACCCGTTTTCTCAACCATCTGACTCTGGAGGTGGAGGTGATGTGGTCAGCATCAGGCTCCGGCCGGCCTGTGACCCCCAGAAGGATTAACTACCCCTGTACTCATTTGGACAGCAGGCTGAGTGGACCTGGGAGCCATCTGGAAGGAACTAGAGCTACATCACTTGCCCCTACCTGGGATTGAACCCGGGACCCTCCGGTCAGGAGCTAGACACCCTTGCTGTCTGAGCTACCACAGCTCCGTTCTCTTGTGATCCAATGAGTTTTTTCATATCACGTACTCTGCAGACTTCAAGACGGCTAAAAGCCTGTGAACCACTTAGCTGACCTGCTGTTCTGTGGGGCAGTCCCAGCACTGCGCCGCTCTGTGTGTGTGTGTGTGTCTGATCAATGAAGTGCCCGTGCCTGCGTCCATACAAATCCCAAAAGAGAAACGAATGCTTCAAATCAAACTGCAAAGGCTTTATCAGCCACAGAATGCAATCAGAGAAAGGGGATTTTTTTTTAATTAGAAAGGGAGACAGAAGGCATCGTTCTCTTGCCATGCTCCGAAATCAAATGCGATAGCGCTTCTTCTCTCATACCATGTTAAAGAGTGACAGGCCACAGAAAGGTTTTTTGCTGGGTGGATAAATCAAAAGGTACTATCAGGTACTGTGTCATCTAATTGCTTTCCAGCTGAGGCCTGTTCCTTATAGTGGGAAAAAAAACACTCTTTTCTCCTCACACCGCAAACACCACAGTATTGTAACTGTGATAGTTGTTACATTATTCAGCGACCTGGTTTGAAAATCCCCCCTCACTGCCACTCCACCCTGTTCACACCAGCCACTGAACTGACACACAGGAGACAGATCCTCAAAGAAACAAATGTTCTACCAGCCCAGCCGTGATATGTTGCTATTTGCGTCACCTTTCAGTCTTGCAGCGTTTTTTTCTTAGCAAAGACTAGCAATGTTCCAACACGTTTGATGTTGTCGGATAGCCTCCCTTCCCAAGATTTTCACTCTGGAATGAGTGCGCCCGGAGACCATTCTCCCAGTGCAGCTCTGCTTCCTGCAGTCTTGGCCGAAACCTTACGAGCCCGGCTCAGAAACCCGCAGATTTAAATCCATGAACATCCCGCGCAGTTGTGAGAATTTTAAACGATACTTTCCCGAGCTTGTTAAATGTCTTTTAAAACGTGATTCGCTTTGGGAACCACTTACAACCCTACCCATCGCCGTCTGAATTTAAAAATTAAAATATTTTAACAAGTAATAGGTTTATTCCATGCTGAAAAGAGAAGAAAGAAAACACAACGTTTCGGCCGCGGAAAAGTTGTGTTTTTCTTCTCTTTTCAGCATGGAACAAACCTATTACTTATTCCTTTGCAGCCAACTTGGCTGACGCAGTTACCCACGTAAAATATTATAGTCCAGAAATGGCAGGTTTTTAAAATAACAAAAGCGCTTTGATTCCCCTTGTCAACCGATAGGCGAGACAAACCGGTCGCAGTGAATAAGAAGACTGCGAGACGTTATCATTTCATCTGAAGGGTTGTATGCGGGTCGTGTCCGCACCTTTAACTAAACTAAGCGGTGGGAAGGCGCGGCACGGAGCGATCAAGGTCCAGGCGAGCGCAGATCACCCTGCCTTTGTCCAGCTTCATGCACTGGCAGTCAGTCTTATTTACACAGTCTAGTCAATCGCTTTCTTTGTTCAACGACATAATGTTAAAAAATGACAAATCGTTTTGCCGATACTAGTAGCACAGCGGTTTACTGTACATTAAGTCCACGTAGAAGGAGCAGAAACTGCTCAGTACATACACCTTGCTGGGAATGTGTCGGAAATAGGATTCCAAGCAGAAATCTGATACAAGGACAGAATAGATTCCCCCGCGACCGAAACAGTTTAAAAAGTTAAAGAGACAGCATGCCTATCTGAAGAAGGCTCCACGGCCGAAACGTTGTGTTCTCTTTCTTCTTTTTTTCAGCATGGAATAAACCTATTACGTGTTCCTTTGCATGCCTATCTTAACGACGAACGCGTCCGATTTCCCCCTACATTTTAAACCGGACCAGCATAGCCTATTGTCCGCTAAACCAGTAGATTATGGATTTTAAAAGTTTCTTAAAAGGTCACATTTCGAGAGAAACACATCACACAAAATGGTTACTAGTGTTGCCATATTATCTCCACCCCTCACCTGAAGACTGATCCGGCTGACACAGACCCCAGCAAAATGGCTACACAGTTAGCTCGCCAACTGCAGGACTAAAAACGATGTTTTTAAAAAAACAAAAGGCAGACGATGTTCTAAAAACAGTTTTGTTTAAGTAATTAAAACATGATCCATTTCAACTTTTGGTCTTGAGTATACCTGTTAGGGACGTCGTATGTCTGTTCGTTTTCTTTTTTTGCGTTTCACAACAGTACATTTAGAAGTTTTAATTATTATCACCATCGTTGTTGTTGTTGTTGTTATTATTATTATTGACAATAATATTATTACTTACACTCTGCCATGAGAGACTTGCACTCCCACTCTTTGTTTCGGCCTATTGGTCGGCACTGCTTCCACATACTAGCATAGTGAGTCTCGGCTTCGTCTTCCACCCAGCCGGACGCGGCGCAGATGGCGATGAGGTCGAATATAATGGCAAAGAGCAACATCAGGGGCAGGATCCACCTGCACCGGGGGTACGCAATCCCGCAGCGGAACATCTTCAGCGCACAGCCGCAAGAGCACACTTCTCAAAGAGCCGCAGAAAAGCTGTCAGGGGAAACTCCGTCTGCTTCGCCTGGCACCTCAGGGGCGAGATACTCCGGCTTCTGTGGGTGTGTGTGTGTGTGTCTGCCTCGCCCCGGCGCGCAACCTGCCGGAGACCCGCAGGACAAGTCTGGGCTGGGCCGACACACCCCAAGCGTCATCCGCTGCATAATCACCTCGGCTCCGCAGACCCGCCGCTAGACGAGGGGCAGGGCTCAGGTTACATGGAGGCTGATTTGGGTAACCCTTCCACCGCCAGTTTTCCTTTGTCAAGTTAATTTATTGTAAATACCCTGGTAAAATGAGCAAATCATGCTCTAAAAATCTACCAAACAGAATTTAAACTTATTACGGGCTGATATTTATTTTTTAAATTCTTATTATGGACGCTTCTTTTTTTTTCTAATTCCACTTCTGAATTGTTGTCAGCTTTCCAAACGTGTACTGTATCGCTTACATACGAAGAAGCGCCAGGCCGTGTAACTAAAGCTTATCAATGTTGTTTCCAACAGGAAGGCGGAGGAATGAGGTTGCTATGGCGCTCTGAGTAATCATTAGACAATGAGCAAACTGATCGCAGCAAAAAATGACATACAGTATGCTAACAGCAAAGGAACTAGTTTTATTTTTTACCTTGTCTTTTCTCAATACTTTCATGGCAAGAGCATATAATTGGGGGGATTTTAAAACGTGTTTTAAAACATGAACTTTAAATCCAGGATTGATCGCTTGTCTCTCGCTACGGGGAAATTAAATTGTACGGAAGTACTTATCTTCAGTAGTCTAAAAAGTATTAACCTAAACATTATTTTTTATACCATGCTATACATAAAAAAATGTAACATAACGCTCTGCCACCTAATTGGGATAAACTGTTCAAGACGCACAAAGGTTTGGGGGAAAATGATGTTTTTATTTTACACCGAATAATTGTCAGTTTTGTAGCAGATGTGCAATGTACACAATGGTTTTGGGGGGAGGGAAACACAAAGTTAGAATTAATTGTACATTTTGATTCCGTCTAAATAAAATGATTGTGTTCATAAATTCTCAATTGCAGTATCACAAACAGCAGATTAATAACTTTCCTGGTTCCCGAACCTCCAGACAGACATTTCAGTAAATCCCAGACTTTTCCGCTCTCTTAGTAATAATTTCTTACTTACAGGTGTGCTGATTTAACCGATGGGTATTTTGGTAGTGCGTTTCTAAAAAAAGTATAACACAGATTGGTCTGGTTTTACATTACATATGTTTTACAGCTTGTTTTTGTTTTGCGTAGACAGTAAAATTAAGACACTCAGAGACTACCGCCCGTACCGCCGGTACTCTTCGGATCAGATAGCTCCTAGCAGCAAAGCGAGCCCCAGATCTCTAATGGTCTCCTTGTGTTTGTAACCCTCGTGTTATTGATGATGGGAAAAAGCCAGATCTAGCCCAGCTCTGTACTGACAGCACTCAATCCCGCAGGCTGCTTGTGGAGAACGGCGATTTAAGAGCAGCATTTTCATATGCTAACGCGGAAACGCTAGAGGGTAGTTTGGGATTCCCATCCACCCACCCGAAATATTTAGAAATGAATGTTGTTATTATTAACATTTTTGGTAATGTAACTACAATATGCACATATTCCTTGGCAAAAATATTTTTGCACACTGTTTACGCGAGTTGGTATTTACTTCTCAAATCAAAAAATCAAATCATATCAAAGATTATTTATCAAATGCACAGCAATACAGTGCAGCAGTAGTTGCTGGGAATGAAATGTCTTTTCTGCGAGCTCAAAAGAATCCCAAAAATCACAAGAATCACAAAAATCACAAAATTAAGGTTACGAAAATAAGGTTACATGATAATAGATAATAATGTAATAGAAATGGAATAAAACTCAATATGAATGGAGCTGCTATGTGTCCAGGGTGTATGCAATATATTATGTCCACGTAGTGCAGTATGCTGAATACAATGAAAACTGTATGTCCATTTTATTCTCTAAAACGTCGCCGAAGCTTGGTTAAAATGTAAATTACTGTTTTGAAACCATGTCATCAGGACACCCACAAAAAAGTTGGAAGTATTTTTCCCAAGAAGAATACACTGCTCGCAGTGTAGATTTCTTAACGGGACGCTGAATTCACTCCATGTTTATATAAAAAAGTAGATTCCATTGCGTTCCTTGATAATGGTTTAAAGTAGGTCACATAGGCTGACCTAAGATAGACTGAAAAAATAGTGTTGTTTGTCTTTGTCAGTAAATACTTTTTTTTGCTATATTCATAAATTCACATATTCAAAGCACAACACATCAGAAATAAAGACATAAATATATTGAAAAATGGAAAAGTCTTGATTGCATAATTCAAATACTCCGCTGTGGAAAAACTAAATTAATGCAGGTGCACATAATTACGTGAATCAGCCTGAATCAGCCACACAGTTAGTTGAGTGGCCTCTCTGCAATAATAATGGTTCATATGATTTCACAATAAATGCACCTGTTGCTCTAAGCGCAGATCAGAAGAAATCTATAAAAATCTAGAAAAAATGTAAAAAAACAGATATCCTTTTGAGGACAGTGAAGTTGATCATTAAGAAATGGAAATATACCACCCACACACTGCCTAGATCTGGCTGTTCCTCCTAAACGCACAGTTGGACAAGGAGTAAACTGGTTAGGGAGGCAACAGTGAGCCCAACAGTGACTTTGAAAGAGCTAGAGTTCTATGACTGAGATGGGACAAATATGCTTCAATCAGCAATATCTTGGTCACAGCACAATCTGACCATCTCCAATCCTGCAACAGAGCACCTATGTTCACTACGGTTCAGCTGTGTTAGCCTTCTTCAGGTGTAGAAGAAGAAGGCTCCACCTTCAAAATGTTGTGTTTCTTTTCTTCTCTTTTCAGCATGGAATAAACCTTTACTTGTTCCTTGGCAGCCTACGTTTGCTGACACGGCTACCTACTTGAACTCCCTATGAAAAACCCCAAACCTGTAGCACAATTGGGACTTTGTGGTCTAAATGCAAAGAGTCACGTTGGACTCAGACTCAACAGTGTTTCACCCAGTCAACACCCTCCCCACTGTGGTGGTGTCAGTGTTATGATATACTTCTGCTTCTCATCACCTTTCACCCAAAGCATAAGGCCAAAGCTACACTGGAGTGGCTTAAGAATGTGATGAGTTTTCTTGAGGCTCAAAGACATGGGTCAAATCCTGTTGAGAGTCTATAAAGACTTGGGAACTGCTGCCTGTACATGATTCTCAAGCATCTGGAGAGACCTTGAGCAAATCTGTCACGAAGCATGGGCAAACAATTCACCAAGCCGACCTACCCAATAAGGCCAGTGGCTGCCAAAGGTGCTTCCACTAAATATGGCACTCAGGGGTCTGAATCCAAGCGACATTTTTCATCTTCATTTTCATCTTGTCTGACACGTCTTTCATTCTCCTGCCGTTTACAGTGACCTATCTTGGAGGTCCTCAGTTTGAATAGTACCTCAACGTGTTGTACTTACATTCTGACATCAGAGATTTGCAGTCATAATTGTTGTTCTGACCTCGGCACCGGCTCCACATGTTGGTGTAGTCGGTGCCGGAGTCGTTTTCGACCCAGCCGGACGCGGCGCAGATGGCGATGAGGTCGAAGATAATGGCGAAGAGCAACAGGAGGGGCAGGATCCACCTGCACCGGGGGTACGCAATCCCGCAGCGGAACATCTTCAGCGAAACACAGCCGCAAGAGCACACTTCTCAAAGAACTCCGGTCGTGAGCCTGTCTCCGCCTGGCACCTGTGTCGTCTGATGCCCTCGTCTCCGAGTGCCTCACCTGAGCATGTAAAATGAAATATAAGCAGAAAACCTGCCTGGTACCTGCAGGGCTGGGCTTGGGCTGACATTCTCCAAAGCGTCATTGGCCACAGAAATCTCTCTTCTTCTCCCCTGCCCAGGATCCAAGTGAGAGGCGAGGTTCAGGTGGCACCTAGTCAGACCGATTCACGTAACTCTTTGTTTGCCAGCCTGTGTGGTGATGGAATGGAAAGGAATTGGACATGGACATGGTCGTGCGCCGCAGAGCATGGGACTTTCTACAGCCTGCAGGGGTTCAGAGGCGCGTCGTTCCTACGTGTTCCTACACAAAGTAAACTACAGTTGGAGAAGTTTGCACTGTGGGTTAGTCTGACAGCTGAATGGGAACTGGTACAGGATCAATATTGCTTGGTGGGCTCTGAAGGCAGTCCTGCAGAAAAGTGAGTGCTATAAATCTATCTACTTTGTTGACTGTAAGAATGAACACTGAAACCCAAACCAGAGAACACATGCAGAAACTACTGGAAAGTGGATTTAAACCTGAGCACGAGAGGCACGTCTTCACATCAGCTGCCCAGCCGTGCTGTTAAATCCGACATCCCAGCCCCTCTGAAGAAACAACTGGATGAGATCCAGGGATTTAATTAGCAACTGGCAAGCAAATGAGCTCAAAGAGCTGAGCACTCTCCTTTTCTCTGAAAATATTCTTAGATTCTTATTTTAATCACGTCCAGTCTGATCTGATCTCAATGTAGGACTGAAAAGAATTTGAAGATAAAAATGTAATGATCCTGTCTACAAGTCAAACCCAGATGCTTCTCCAGGCTAGGAACTTCCAATAAAAGGAAGAAAATCTGTGTTGCGCCCGTATCAGAAATGTAATGATGAAGTCTCGTTAAAATAGCACTACCTGCTGCTCTGGGGGGGCCTCACTTCAGCTGTGAAAGAAAGGGGTATAATGTCTAATTCACAGGGTTACAGCGCTGGCTGTATTAAGAAACTGCCATCTGTTTCAGCTCAACATTTTTCGAAGCCAGGTTTCTTAACAATGGGTGAGAGTAGCAACTGTTAATGTAGGATAACAAACAGGTCTTGAGAAGCCTGCAGGCTTCCAGCCACACCCAGCTCAGTGCTGTCAAACCGGTCAGATCTGCTTTGGGCGTAGACCTAAGTGAGGCTTGTAGGGGTTTTCAATCAAGTCAGCCCAGGCAGACTG